CAAATCTGAGCTCCTGGAAGGAGGGGACATTTTGATGGGGTTCTTGGAGAAAGCACAACCAAGATCAAGCCTAGTGTTGGTAGGAGGTCACTGACTTCCTTTTGCCCCCTCCCATCTCACAGTGTCCTGGAGCTACCCATAGACAGGTCTCTGGAGCTACCCATAGAGCCCTGGGAACAGGGGTTTACCTTGATACCAGGGGGGAGGGTGGCTTCAGGCTGGATGCTATGGGTGCAGCCCGATCCCTGTCTCTCCCTCCCCTTCTCCACTGTCTAGACTGGGAGTGGGAAGAAGGGACCAGGGAAAAGAGCTAAATCTCCTGAGGGCAAGGGATGGAAGGCAGAGTCCAGGGAGCCTGGGGTTGAGACAGATAGTTTTAGGGAGATCCTTCACTGAGCTAAAGCTGTCTTGGGAACCAGAAAGGAGGTTTGGGGTAAGAACAGCCCACAAGAAGGGCCCTATAGATGGTGCCTGTTCCACATTCAGGTGCTGCCTCTGGGAATTATGAGAAATGGTTAGGCAATTTGGATGGTACCAAAATGGGTAATGAGTCCTCTGCCTTGGTTTCTACTCCCCACTGGGATGCAGTAAACCACATGGTTTCAAGAGCCCAGGTCTTCTACCTGCCTGTGGACATCAAGCATCATCTTAGACCTGGCTCAGATCCTGAGCCTCCTGCAGAATGACTTTTGGGCCCAGTAATAAGGGGGAAGGAAGGGGAACCATGGGGGTTCCATCCATGAGATCCAGGCTCACCTCCTTCTTCCAATAATTCTGAGCCCCAGGCTGTCTTGTCTTAATCCTCGCCTCCTTGAACCACTGGAAGACAAACCTGTGTCTGTATCTGTGTGTGTAATGCACACATGCACGCATGACACATCTCATCTTCTCTCTGACCTGTCTGCTTTCTGGAGAGTCTCACAGACTCTCAGTGTCAACAAGGCTCTGGAGACCACTTGGCCCAACTCCCTCAATAACTAGAAGAGAAATGGGAGTGGCTAAGCCGAAGATCATTCAGACCAGCCTGCTCTTCCCCATACCCCTGCCCCATCTGGCTCTTTCCCTTGCCTTTACCATCCACCCTGTCTTTTGCCCTCATGCGCTCTCTCTCTCTCTCTCTCTCTCTCTCTCTCTCTCTCTCTCTCTCTCTCCCCCTCCATCTCTCTCTCTCTCTCCTCCCCACCTCCATCTCTCTCTCTCTCCTCTCTCTCTCCCTCTCTCTCTCCCTCCCTCTCTCTCCTCTCTCTCTTTCTCTCTGTGTCTCCTTCCCCCCTCTCCCCCCACCTCTCATTTCAAGAGCCATTGGCCCCCTAATGATCCCAGGCCCCAGGCCTTCCCAGCTGTTCCCACAGATGGAGACATGGAAGCTGTGGGGAGGCAGCTTTGCACTCTGCCCCCTCTCCAAGTGCCCTGGATGAAAACCATAGCACCCCAAGCCTGACAGAGAGAAGCAGAACCCACAATGGCCCAGATTCCAGGTATCCTCCCTCCTTCTGAATAAGAAGCTGATCCAGGACCTTAGAACTTCCCCTTTCAGAAAGCAGCAGCCAAGGAACCCAGACCAGCTGGCCAGCCCCCAGGGGCTTTCTCGTGCCTACATCCCAGCATCTTCCTGTTCTTCCTCCTCATCTTCCTTTTTCTTATTCTATGTGCACTTCAAGTGGGCCTCCCTGTAGGCAGAACTTTCCGCACCTACCTGGCTTGGTTCTGAGCATAATAATCTGATTTGAGAGGGGGAGCATTAAGACCCACCTGCCTGTTCTACCCTCTGGCAATAGTTTCAATAGGCACTACTCACCATGTGCTCGGTCACTGGTCCCATCTAGATCCTGCCCTCACAATAATCTTTCTAGTGTGAGAAACTGACAAGTACCTGATACTCACATCCTATGTGGTCAGTACCATGATGGCAGAAAGCTCAGGGGCCATATAACAGTACAAAAAAAAAAACAAAAAAACATTTGACTCAGCTTAGGAAGATCAGGGAAATTGGCCTAGAAGGGATCTTTGATATGGGTCATCAGGCAACTAGTTTTCCAACCTGATAAGTAAAGTCATCATTATAGAGGAAACAGCCTGAGAAAAGGCATGGAAGCATAAAAGAACACAATATTTTGGAGAAAAAGTGGCAAGTTCAGTACTATCATAGCAAAGGCTGGACCAATTTGTGAAAATGGGCAAAAAGAATCACAAAGCCAAAACCGGTTTGGCTCAGTGGATAGAGCTTTGGCCTTCCGGCTGAAAGATCCCGGGTTTGGTTCCAGCCAGGGGCACGTCCACAATAGGGGGATGCAGGAAGCAGCTGATCAATGTTTCTAACTCTCTATTTCTTTCCCTTCCTCTCTGTAAAAAGTGAATAAAAATTAAAAAATAATTTAAAAAGAGAATCACAAAGGTTGCCTAGCCTATGAATCAGGAGGTCATGATTCAATTCCTGGTCAGGGTTTGTGGGCTTGATCCCCAGTGTGGGGCAGCTGATCAGTGACTCTTGTCATTGATGTTTCTCTCTCTACATCTCCCTTCTCTGTAATCAATAAAAATATATTTAAAAAGCCACAAAGATTGGGCGGAGGTCACTATTTCTGCTTGGTGAGTAGTAGTTGAATGAGTGAAGCATTTAGAGATGTAGGGTGTGCTAAAAAGCTCAGAAATGGGATTGAAAGCTTTTGTTGGTGGAATGACAAAACAAGAAGGATCAGTGTAGGAGAGGTGGTCCTGGAGGAGCAGTGAAGTGTGCTGAGCTTCAAAAGCAGAGTTGCTGGCGGCGCCATGGGACCACGGCGGGCGGCGGGTGATACCGCAGCGCCTCTGCTCTCACCCGCACTTCTGCCTTTGCAGAGCAGGCGCCCCCTCCTCCCCGACTCCCTCTCGCCCTCGCCCCTCCTCTCTTCTCCTCCTCCCCACTCCCTCCCTGACCTTGCCCGCCCCACTTCGCCCGCGCCGCCCCTCGTCCTTGGCATTCCCGCTCCCCGACCCTCCCGAGCCCCTGCGCGCTGGCCGCCGCTGGTCAGGTCAGGATGGAGATCCGGCAGCACAAGTGCTTCGCGGCCACCCCAAGGAGTCCTCGTCATGCCTGACCCAGGTGGGCGCGAACTTCTACAGCAGCGTCAAGCAGCCCACGTCTGGCTCCGCAGGAAGGACAAGCTGGAGCACTTCAAAGGCTACGGGACAAGAGACAAGTGGCATGAATCGGTGCAGGATCGCAATGATTTCAACCCACCTGGAAATCTGATTCCCGTCATTCATTGGTTGCTAGATACTTAACAGGAAGAACACCCATTAAGAAATAAAAGCATGTGAGGGAGGAGGGGGGAAGCAGAGTTGCAGAGGGGACCATCTACTGGTGAGGAGAAGAGCAATAGAATTTTGAGGTGGAATGATGACAGGCTTATATGTTACATAGGACTGCAATGGTGGCCATAAGGCTGGAAACCTTGGACAGGCAGGCCTTGGATGCCAGAGGGACAGTATGTTCTGATAGAGCAGACCAAAGGAGCCATAGAAGTCCCCAGATCAGGGGAGACTGTGCTGCAGTGAGTGTAATATGTGTAAGGAACCTACTCTCAAAAGCCTAGAAGGGAGAGGCTCAAGTAAGCTTCTCCTCTCCCTGCCAGCAGGCAGGAGCTGAGTAATTGCTTCCAGGACAGTCTGCAGCCTTCCCCTTAGTCCTGTACATACCCCTTTAGGGTCCTGGGACTCTGAGGAGGCAGCCCCTCTTCCCCCAGCATGCTTGCGTGTGTGACCTACCTCAAAGTCCGAAGGAGTGTCCGCTTCTCTTCACTGGGAAGTGGATGGTGTCTAGGGGGCGTAGAGCTGGGCCAGTATCTTCCCTCTGGGCATCCAACTCCTCCCCTTTCAGCTTTTGGGGAGCTTCAATCTTATTAAAGGTGATTTCCCTCTCTCTAAGCTCTGATATGCTCATTTACCTTTCAGGTTTGCCTTTATGTCTCTGAAGGCTTTCTTTTCTGTCTCTTCTAGAGATGTAGCTGGGAGAGGGCTTCAAGCAGCCCAGAGGCCAAGAGTTTGCTTGAATACAAAAAGACTGGATACCACACAGATCTTTAACCCTGGACTGTGGGGAGAGAGGGGGCACAACTGTGTAAAATTCTGTCCCCAGCCGGGACTGGTTTGGCTCAGTGGATAGAGTGTTGGCCTGCGGACTGAAAGGTCCCGGATTCGATTCCAGTCGAGGGCATGTACCTTGGTTGCGGGCACACCCCCACTTGGGGGTGTGCAAGAGGCAGCTGATCAATGATTCTCATTGATGTTTCTAACTCTCTATCCCTCTCTCTTCTTCTCTGTGAAAAATCAATAAAATATATATATTTTAAAATTCTGTCCCCAAACTCACCAGAACAAATTCAATCCAGCCAGCATTACCATGAACAACTCTCTCTCCCAATTCCCTTCAGTCCCAGGGGTCACAGGAGCAGGCACATGGTGGAGAACTCTGTGAGGCAACACATGGAGCCATAATTGGGTCTCTTTTTCTGTCTCCCTCCCTTTCCCAGTGTGAAGCTCTTCAGGCGGCTGCTGGGGCAGCAGGTTGGGGAGAAATAGGGGTAGAGCCCAGGGCTGGATTTTTGCCCCTGGCTGCAACTCTCTTGAGGTCGTAGGGAGCCAGGTTCCCAGGTTCCTGGGGCACATATCGGCATAGCCCATTTCCCTAAGGAGCGACCCCCTGCCCAAAGACCCCTAATCCGTTGTCAGCAGTGCTGGGCAGAGCTTGGAGTTGAAGGAGGCACGTGGGAGAGACGGGAGTGCAGAGCAGGCACGTGGTCCAGCCTCCTCAGCCCCGTGCATGTCCCCCACCCCTCGGTGAGGAGCGGTTTGCGAGATGGGGGCGGGGCCGGGATGGAGAGCTAGCAGCAGGCGGCTCAGAGAGTGGGTGCTAGCCTGCAGCGGGAGCTGTCCGTGAGACCTAGTGCTGAAGTAGGCGCAGACGTGCCTGGTGCCCGGGGAGTGGTACCCGGTGCCCAGTGGCTGGGCCAGCGAAGGCCATGACATTCATGGTAAAAACCATGGTGGGCAGCCAGTTGAAGAACCTCACCGGAAGCCTGAGTGGCGGCGAAGATAAGGGAGATGGGGACAAGTCCGCCACCCAAGCACAGGGCATGAGCCAAGAGGAGTATGAAGAGTATCAGAAGCAACTGGTGGAAGAGAAGTGAGTGAGATCCCTTCCCACCTCCAAGGACCCTCTCCCACATTCCATCCTCCAGCTGTCCGGCCCACCTCTAGGGTAGTCTCAGATCCCAACCCCTTCCCCTACTTTTCTAGACAAGTCAGAGGCTGGGATGTGCACCTCTAGGTAACCCTCTGCCACCCCCAGCCACAGCATTTCAAACCCAGGACCCCACCCCAGCTTCACATTAGGTGCAGAGGAAGTGGGGGCAGGGGCGATAGGGGTCTGGGACCAGGTGGGGCACGTGTATTTCTGATGAAACAAGTAATCCTTTAATCCGATCTGGTCCCAATGTCTGTGTCTTCCAAATGGAGCTCTTCTGAGCCCGAGGTCTGAGAAAAGCAGTGCAGCTGAGGGGGGCTCAGAGTCAGGAAGACAGATCCTGAAATGGGGGCACTAGTAGATATTGAGTCCACTGATGTTTGGACAATGCTGGGACAGAGAGACAACTGGAGTGGAGTTAGGGCTAGACTCCAGAACTGATTGTGTCAGATCCAAGATTTGCTTCTTTATAGCTGAGTGATTTTAGGTAATTTACTTAACCTTTCTGTCCCTTGGTTTTCTCTTTTGTAAGTGTGAATGATAATTATAAAGCATGCCTTATTTTTATTAGGATTAAGTTACTTAATGTAAACTGCTTAGCACAGCACCTAGAACATGGTAAATCATTAACTGTTAGCTATAATTATTTCATCTAATAGCAGTTTTGTGAATTGAAAAATCTTATCCCCATTCTACAAGAGGAAGGTAAGTGACTTACTCAAAGACATATCATAACAAAAGTGGTAATAGAGCCAGATATGAAACCAAGTCTGATTCAAGTACTCCCCTCCCCACCCCCACACACACACTCTCCAAGTAACCTGCCAGGAAGGGAAAAGACTTAATGAGTCCGAGGCTTAGAGGGACATATATTAGGCAGCCAGAACAACCTCCTTCCCAGAGGCATGTGTGGAGACTAGAAAGGGCCCTGTGATGGGGGCTGGGCCATAAAGAGCAACAGGCAGTTGCCAGGTCCAAGCACCATTCTGACATACAGGCCCACGGGTGCCCATCTCTTTAGTGCTGGCTATGACTCTGTCCCTGCGCCCCTGCAGGATGGAACGTGACACACAGTTCACACAGAGGAAGGCAGAGCGGGCCATGCTACGGAGCCACTTCCGAGACAAATACCGGCTGCCCAAGGTAAGCTTTGGAGATGTAGCTTCAAGGCATATCCAGGCCCCTGAGACCTGAGCCTGGACTCCTTTGCCCCACTCTGGGAGCCATGACTTTCAGCTCCTCACACTCTTGGAAAGCTTGGTGGGATCATTTATTCTTTCACTCCTTCACTCCTCAAATGGAGCCCACCTAAGCCTAGGATTTGGCAAGGAGGGATTGTCCAGTCCTCCAGAGACTGATAGGTTTGTGTTTCTGGAGCCAGTTCAGGCCCCTTCTGTCCTCCAACCTAACTCCCCCAAAACAAGTCAGGCTCAAGCAGATGAAGAGTTGGAAGGCAATAGACTTTACCATGGGGGTGAGGCTCTTGAGGCTTCTGAACACCTGGGCAAGGTGGGATGGAGAGAGAAGGTAGCACCATCTGTGCTACCTTCACACCCTTACCTAACTCCTTAGTAATTCCTCCAGGTAGCAATCACCCACATCTACAAATAAGGAAACTGAGACTCAGATAGATTAAAGGACTTGGCTAAGATCAAGTGAGTGATGCAATCAGTGAGTGATGGTGCCCAAGCTTGTGAATGCTGAGCCTTCTCCAGGCCCCTGGCTGCTTTCCAGAGTATGGGTCTGTCTGCAGAGAGCAAAGTAACTCCTTGGTTGGCCAAGCAGCCAGGAGGATGTCTCCTCTATGCACGGCAGCACCAGATGGGCTGTAAGTGTTCTACTCCTATTCCCTAAGAAGAGAACTAAGGCACAAACTACTCCAAGTCCCCAGAACTATGATAGACTCTAAAGAGAAACAGAACTAGTGCTCAGTAAACCGACCTTGATCTTCCAACTGAATTGGAAGATCATACATGTGAATATCACATCCACTCATTCAACAAATATTTCCTGAGCCTCTGGCTACCTCTGACTCCCCACAGGGCCCCAGTCTTTTAGAAGTATCTCAGAGGGAAAAAAGGTCCAGAAAGTTTGCCTTTCTGGGAAGTAACTGAGTTAAACATAGCTAGGAATGGGGTCATTACTCAAATGCTTGCATTAAACATGTAAGAGACACAACTTTCATTAGAGAACTCTGAGTCCAGTAGAAGAGGAAAGACTTGGCTGTAACTGAATAGGACATAACATAGGAAGCCCCAGGCCCCCCAAAGGGATAGAGAAATGCAATGACATTAGTAGGTGCCTTGCAAAGAGAGCACAGATGTTGGTATCAGTGACATCTGTTTAAATGTAGCTGTCCCACTTCCAAGTTGTATGATCATGGGCAAGTTACTTATTTAAATTATCTGAGCCTCAATTTCCTTATTTTTAAAATGGAGAAAACAATAATTATCTTGCAGGGTCATTGTGAGAATTAAAAGCACACAGCTCAATATCAGCCATATAAAAAGTGTTTGATGAATGATACCCACCACTATTATTGGTAATGTCCTTCAGTGTAGTTAACAATAGTCAATATATGACTAACTGTAACAATCTGACTCCTAGGTATTCTTATTTTGTATCCCCTTCAGTATCTCAGAGTGAAGTAAAGTGGTATAAAAATTCAAATGTCAAAAGCTTGATCCTGGGAAGTGGGGGGTGGGGAATGAGCTCACTAGAACATGGGGCTCAAGAATCTAGGAGCCTGGAACCCAGTCCAGGCTCCTCCCTATACCCTCAGCTTGGGTCCCACAGGTCTCCAACTCCAGCCCAACCCTCCCTTCTCTTCAGAATGAGACCGATGAGAGCCAGATCCAGATGGCAGGTGGAGACGTGGAGCTGCCCCGGGAGCTGGCCAAGATGATTGAGGAGGATACGGAGGAGGAAGAGAGGGCCTCAGTCCTCGGGCAGCTGGCCAGCCTTCCTGGCTTTGACCTTGGCTCTCTCAAGGACAAAGCCCAAGCCACACTGGGGAACCTCAAGCAATCAGCTGAGAAGTGCCACATCATGTGACTACTTCCCCTGGGGTTGCTCACTGGGGTGATCAGAGGACTGGGCCCATACATGCCTCAACTTCCACGGACCGATATCCGTCCCCTTGTCTTCGTTTCCCCTGTATCAGGCTAGTCCCAGGACCCTTGCCTGCTCCAGCCTGCCTTCTCTCCCTCTGGGAGCAAAGTCCCCATTCTCCCCCTACCCTTCAGGACTCACCCTCCCTACTAAGCCTGGGAAACCTCCCAAGATTATAGGAATAGGCTCAACTGACTTCTCTCACCATAACCTCAAATTCCTGCACATAAGTACACAGAGAGGGACACAGAGACCTTGACATGTGCAGAAGCAGACACCACAGCTGCATCCTACACGAGCACACAGACACACCTACATGAGCCAACCCCTGGTGCCGTTTTCGGCAGACAAACTCAGCACACACCAGTTGAGTGTGAGTCTCGATAATTCATTTTCCTTGAAATCCACTGTTCTCTCGGGCCTCATTCCATCATCTATGAAATGAGGATGAACTCAGTGATTTTAAGGTTCTTTCTAGCTTGGCCTCCCTGGCCCCTTGAAGGCAACCTACACCTCTCCTTGGTCAGGGCAGCAGCTGCAGTTACAGCATCAAGCAGTTGGCACTGTGGGCTCTGGCTTTTGGCAGCTGAGCGATGCCATGGGAAGGACCAAGTACCAAGGATGAAGCTGGGACCGAACAGTAGCCCAGGCAGTTCCAGGCCTTCTCTGAGCCAAGCCCAGGGCCTGGCCTATTTCTGTTTTCTTCCTGTAGAACTCTCTCTCCCTCTCTGGATTCCATAGCTGGATCTCCCCTCTCAGCTCAGTGAAAAATAAAAATTCCAAATGACCTGTTTTTCTTCCCACTTCTTACTGACCTCCAAGAGTCTTTGGGTTCACAGGCCCCCCCAATCCTTCCTTGGAGTGGTGTCCTCTATCTCTTCACCACGGCCTCATAGGGGGCACTAGCCCCTATACAATATTCAAGCCCTACCCTCTCAGGGCCCTGGGCAAGGACAGGGGTCTCCCTGCATTATCAAGCACCAGGTCCAGACTCTGGGCTTTGAGGAGAATGTGGCAGCCAGCTGGATGGGCAGGGCCTCTGGGAGTTACCTGAAACCACAGGAGAGGCCACAAGTCAACCACAGCTGTCTCTGGCATCTGTGCCTATACCCCCTCCTCCCCTTGGAGATGAAAGTATGACAGAAAGAAGGCAGGACAACTGCATTCCAGCTCTGGCACTGCTGTGTGACTTTGAACAGGTCCCTTCTCTCTCTGAGCCTTTCTCCCCTGTGAAATGGAGAGCCCCCATAAAAAAAAATAACATGTTTCAAAGGGTGACCATTTGTAAAGCACTTGGCACATGATAGGCCATATCAATAAATGATAACTCATTCTTTGAAATAACTGAAGAGCCCAAATATCATCATGCCCCCCTATATAGTGTCCAGGGAGCAACCAGGAGGCTCCCCAAACAGGCCATCCCAGGGGCCTGAACAGGATCGAGGTATCAACACCTCCCCTACCCCACCCCTGGCACCAGCTCGTGGAGAAGACTTACAGGCAGAACAGCCATTGGAGGGTTTGATTTCAAGGCAAAGTTTCCATTAGGGCCTCCTTTGCAAAATAAGAACAAGGTACATAAAACCTGTGCAGTAGGTGAGGTGGGGAATGTCAGGTGGAAGAGAGACAAGAAGATGAGGAAGTAGGGGGTGTGAGCAGGGAAGCACACAGACCCAGGATTGGGGCAGTGCTGTTGTGACTGTCACGCTAGGTCCTTCTTGAGCATCCCCTATGCCAGTGGTCGGCAAACTCATTAATCAATAGAGCCAAATATCAGCAGCACGATTGAAATTTCTTTTGAGAGCCAAATTTTTTAAACTCAAACTTCTTCTAATGCCACTTCTTCAAAATAGACTCGCACAGGACAAAGCCCAAGCCACACTGGGGAACCTCAAGCAATCAGCTGAGAAGTGCCACATCATGTGACACCACTCCAAGGAAGGATTGGGGGGGCCATGGTATTTTGTGGAAGAGCCACACTCAAAGGGCCAAAGAGCTGCATGTGGCTCTCAAGCCACAGTTTGCCGACCATGGCCCAAGGCTGTCCCCAAGTTATCACTGAACAAAAAATCCCTCCTTACCTTCCTGAAGCTGGAGGAGACCCAACCCGGGGCCCCAGGCTGTGTGTGTGTGGGGACATGGGCACTGGGCACATGATAGGCTATATCAATAAATGAGAACTCATTCTTTAAATGCAGCAAGTACTCCACCTTCCAAGGGCCTTCTGCCCAATGGGGTTGGGCAGACCAATTTACCCCCAATGGTTTACAGGACCAAGGGTGAAAGAGGCAGGGTATCATGGCTGTGAGGAGGCTAGGGTTAGTGTTCACTGAACCCTCACCCAACAGAATGGCTGGAATCTGGAGTCAGGGAGGTGGCTGAACCCCAACACTGGCTTTCTCCTCACAGGCTGGAAACCTTAAGAAGCCCTGATCTGTCTGCATGTTCCTGGGATTGGGGGGAAGAGGCTCTGAGGTAGCAGGAACCAGCTCCATTGCTCAGGCTGAAATGGGCAAGGAAAGCAGACTGAGGGGTCCCAAGCTCTGCTGGCCTCCCCCTACCACTCCTCACCCTTCCTTCCCCTGCTCTCTGGCTTCTCCTACAGTCCCTGCCCCTCTCATCTATGTCCTGCCCTCTGCTCATTCCTGGTTCATACCCATCTTACACCCACCTGCCTCATTTCCAAGCCCTAGGGGCCTACTGAGGACGCCTCTTCACATGCTGTTTCTACTCCCATTTATTTAGATAATTACTTGCTCCATGACTAGTCCACCTGATATTATATGAGGACAACAAAGAAAGCCACCTGCTACCAGAACTCCCCTTTTCACAGTGATTAAAATCCCACCAATAGTTTAGAGCAAAGCATTTACCTTCCCAGGTCCTCTCCTCCTCTCTTTCCTGTTCATGTTTGTTCCCTCCCTCCCTCCCTCCCTCCCTCCCTCCCTCCCTCTCTCCTTCCCTCCCTCCCTCCCTCCCTCCATATATATATTATTACAGAGAGGAAGGGAGAAAGAGGGACAGAGAGCCAGAAACATCAATGAGAGAGAAACAATGACCAGCCGCCTCCTGCACACCCCACACTGGGGATGTGCCCTTGACTGGAATCGAACCTGGGACCCTTCAGTCTGCAGGCTGACGCTCTATCCACTGAGCCAAACCAGTCCCGGCATGTTCTCTCTTTCTTTCATCATTCTCGCTGTCCTTCTTTGCAGACAGTCTGAAGATACAGGAAATGTTGAAAGGTGATAAGACAGTTCCTCCACCACCACCATCCCCACACTGCACCCCCTCACCACTACTCTTTCAGGAAGAGTGACTACAAAGATGGCCAGTCTGCTCCCCCTCACCCCCACTCTTAGGTTCTCTAGCCCCATGACATGGGAGATTTCAGGGAATTGGTGACAAGCCCTGGTACCTGTCCACTCAGGTCTCCTTCCACCCATCCAGATAGCTCAGCCTGGTTCCCAGAGGGAGAGGAGTGCAGATCTCAAGTGATGTCCAGAGGCTAGTTGGCCCCAGGGTGGACTTGGGGAGGATGGTGAGAGTTTGGAGTTGGGAGGCCCCCGTTCTCCCAGTGGCCATGGTCTTCCCCCCCCCCCCCCCCGCCCCATCAAATCCTGGAAGCTCCCAGCAAGCAAGCTGGGAACATGGGGGAATGTGTGTAGCGCCAGAGCTGCTGGCAGAGCCTATTGGTCCAGCTGACACCTGAGGCTGCTTGGGGTGGAGAACCACATGTGAGGAGACTGGAAAAAAACCACAAAGCCTGCTACCTGCCTCTAGTTCAGTACCCACCAGGCACAGCTGTTCCCAGAATCTATGTGAGGCTTCAAGAGAGCAGAGGCCAGGGGGAGCTGGGTCGGGGGAGCAGCAGCATTGAGGCTGCCTTAGCCTTGCTCGGCAGGGACGTGCCTATGTGTGTGAGCATGAGTAGAGTCTATATGGAATCTGCATGGATCTGTGAGCTTGGACGTGGCTTTCGGTGTTTGTGTATGTGCTTGAGGCCTGTGACCTGTTAGTGTTCGTATATCTATGATATTTCAAGTGGGTAAGTATGGGTATGAGTTACTCTGAGGAATGTGTGCCCAGCCTCAGTGGTTTTTGGGGATAATAGTCCTCTTAGATGACTTACAGGAACCACGGTTCAATGACCTTCCGAATCTCCTGTTAGCCAAAAAAAGAGACAGGCTGGGCACAGGGACCTGGCTCCCTCAATCTGCTCAAGGCCCACCTGCTGTCCTGTACTCAGGGCTGGTCCCATGGGAAACAGTGGGTCCCAGGCCCAGGTGGTTCCCCAGCTTGGTCCAGTACTGGCTTTGGATTTGGGGGACTGAGTGGAGGTGGGAGGACAGGGCACCCTGATGCTGGAGAAATGTCTGTCCTGCTTTGGGCATTTTCAAAGTATTAAAGATGAGAGGTAGAAACAACTCCTGCCCCTAGAGAGAAAAATCTTTTTAAAAAAGCAGATTGGCTTATTCCTGTGTCCCTGCCATTCAAAGGGAGCCCTGGAGAGTGGTCCCCCTCCTCTCTACCTTAGCTTTCTGGCTGGGCTGTTCCCTCCTTGGCAGGTGACCGAAATATAGGACCAGTGGAGGCATTGAAACACTCTGCCCAGAGAGGGCCTAATCCCCCGACAGTCTCACTTGTCCAGTGTCCTGTTGGTGGGTAGTGAATCTTTTCCATTCATCCCCATAATCAGCTCCATTCATTCCCTCCTTCCATTCCCTCCTTTTACTTACTGAGGCTTTTTTTTTTTTTGACCAGCCTATCCCCAAAGATAATCTGAAGTACATTTCTCTCCCTCCATCTGAAAATAGTTTATTGAATCTTACTGTGTCAGGCTAGTGTACAGTAACTCATTACAATCTTAGGAGATTTCTATAAGGCACTTCACCTCATCCTAGTTTTACTGAGAAATGGATCAGTCCAACTATTTTCAACCTGTGTGTAGCAATAATTTTTAAAATATGCAAAACCACTACCAGGGCACTGGCCTCTTTTTCCTTAAATTGTCAAATTTAAAAAAAGACGATAGCCATCTGGTGTAAATGAATCAAAATTATTTTTTTGGTCACATCAGCACAAATATTGTGGTGTGCTGCAGCTTCCAGTGATTAGTTCTGTGTGCCCTGAGGTGAAAGGGGTTGAAAATCACTCGGTTAGTCAATGGGCCTCTTGGTCAAGTGGCAGAGCCAGGATTTCAGTCTTGCCTCCTGCCTTCTGGGCCACTGCTCTACTTTGCCCCTCACAGCCAGGGGTCGGGGAGGGCTTCTTATCCCCTAAGTCCTCAAAAATGCTTCTAAGTGCTGTTAGGACCAAGACCTTGCCCTAGCTGGTTTGGCTCAATGGTTAGAGCGTCTGTCTGTGGACTGAAAGGCCCCAGGTTCAATTCTGGTCAAGGGCACATGCCTGGGTTACAGGCTCAATCCACAGTAGGGGACATGAAGGAGGCAGCCGGCCAATGATTATCACTCATCATTGATGTTTCTCTCTCCACCACCCTTCCTCTCTGAAATCAATAAGAAATAAAAAGACCAAGACCTAGCGGGGGGGGGGTAGGGACTGCTGGGAATTATCCCAGCTTGTGGGGTACCTGGAGGACTGGATATAAGATACCCTAGAGAATGCCCTTTGTCCCAAGCCTCCTCACTCACTGGTCCAAGGGGAAGAGGGCTGGGAGGCCAGGGATCCTGTGGGGCAAGGGCGTGCGCCCAGAGCAGCGGTTTTACAGGACTGTGCTCTCCCATGCAGTCCGCCCTTCTCCAGTGCACAGAGGAAGGGCACTGCCTGGCACCCAGGCCTGTGCCTGTCCCCTTCCCACCAGTCGCTTAGGTGGTGGGCAGTAACAGCAGCTGGTCAGCCCGAGGGCACGAGGCAGATGTGGCTCTCACTCCCCCACCGCCCTGCGGCCTTCCCCAGCCCTCCCTCGGTTACCCTGTCATTCCTGGGGTCCCTGTAGCTCTAGCCAAGGAAAAGGGGCTGCCCGCCTTGACTTACTCCTTCTCTTCTTCCAGGGCAAGAAAAGAATCACAAGTTCAAAAAATAATTTAATAGGGAAACAATAAATGATACACTTTACACTGGCCTCTGATAGGACATAAAAGACGACCCTTGTCCCAGGAGGCACTGAAGGGTGGAAAGGTTAGAAATCACCAACAGCCAGAGATTTAAAAACTAATCCCCAAATAACTCCAGGCATACATACACATTGTTCTCCAGATGAAAGTCACTTGGTACTCCTAAAAGCCCCCATGGGGGAGGGAAAGGAGGTAATAGCAACACCCATGGAGCTGGGAAGACCCAGGCCCAGAGAAGGAAAGGGCACATGCTGGGGTGGCAGCCATATCAGCCCTGAAATGTCTCCCGAGCTACTGAGTCTCCAAAACCTGAGGAGACGGGCAGCCGCCATGCCTCCCTGTCCCAGGCCAGGACCAGCTCTGCAGAAAATAAGGTGTTTCCTAGAGATGATGGCTGGAGACATGAGGGTTAGGGACCCTTCCCCCAAACCCTCTGGGGCAGGGCAGGAACTGGCATGAGTTTCTTCACTTTGCCCCACCCTACGCAATATTGTTTTCCTGGCTTGCAGGATTAACTTAAAATGCTGAGGGTGGATAGACATCAGCTTCCAAGATGACGGGTGTTCTGCCGGCCGAGTGCAGACCATGGTGGGTGGTCCCTGAGGGGGTCCCTGAGCGCCGGGCCCACCGCGAGGACGGAGGTGAGGTGAAATCAGGGCTCTAGGAAGGAAAGGGATGGGCACAGGCTACATCTGAGCAGGTTTTGCTTCTTAGAGTGTCTTGATGCCCTAAATTGACAGACTCAGGGTCCAGCAGTCACCAGTTAACCAAAGTCACATGAGACACTCTTCTCTCAGAGACCTGCTCCCCTCCCCGAGGGCCAGACCCAGCGCTCCCAGACCATACAAGGGCGGGGCCATCAGAGCCTTTGTGGGGCGAAGAGTGTCCTGAAGGTTTGTACCCGGTGGGAGGGGTCCAGCCACTGGACCCCTGGATGGGCAACTCTGAGCCCCTTATCTGCAGAGTTGCCCATCCAGGATGACTACTCCGCCATGGTGCAGAGGGCCACAGAATTCTGGGCATCAGCCTCTGTGTCCCTCAATCAGGTGGCCCATGGTCTGTCTAGTCATCTTTTTGCAGTCACTGTAGAGTGCAAGCTGTGGAGGGTAAGGGAGAAGGGTCAGCGCCAGGTCTCTGGCAAAAGAGGAAGAATCCAGGGCTTCCCCTGGCCTTCAGTCCTCCTTAGGCAGAAGGGAGAACCATAGGCAGGACTCACAGCTCCGAACAGACTCCGACAACCCCTCCTTGTCCAGGGTCTCGGCTTCCCAGTGAGACTCCCTCATCTGTGGGACAAAAAAGCAACACCAAGGTGACAGGAAGCCAGGGGCAGGCAAAGGAGCTGCATCAACAGTCCCGAGCAACTGGGAGTGAAAGACAGAGACAGAGTGGAGAGCTGCAGATGGAAGCCAGAAAGGGAGACACCCAGGAGAAAAGGTGGGGCAGACAGCTACAAGCAGAGGAGCAGAAATCACAAAGCCTTGCCCCAATGCTCACCTTGATTTGTTCCTTCAGGTATTCAGCTCGAGCCATGAGATTCTGAACCTGCCATGGGAAGACATACGTGTGGGGGGGAAGACATATGAGCGAGACCCTCCTCACTCCTGCTGCTCTCTAGAACTCTCTGCCCCAGAACAATTGCACTGAGTCCTTGATCTGCTCCCTCCTCCAGAAAGCCTTCCTGACTGAAGCGGCCCTGCCAATTTTCTGTTGCTGGGTCCCCGGATCCTGCCTGACCTGAGCTCCTAGCCCCTATGAACCACATGGGGCCAACAACCTATCAGGTCTGTAAGGTCTGACTCACAGACTTGAAACACCCTGAGGGAACCCGATGGAAAGGGGGTCAAAGGGGAAGATGAAGACCCCCACAACCCACCCAACCACAGTGGGCACCTCAGTGTGAAGCAGCTCCCGCCTCCGGCCTGGGGGCTCTCCTGCAAAAAGAGGGGGCGAGTGCTAAGGGCAGGGCAGCAGGGAGTCAGGGAGTGCGGTGGTGAGGGCCCCACCTGCCAGCAGCAGCAGCAGTTCCCCCAGGCTGTGCTGGTACAGGTCCAGGGCGTCCTGCTCTCCGCCAGCTTCCTCCTCCTGCAGCCACAGAGACACTTGCCACTTAGGGTCACGATCTAGATCCCTCCCTGCCCCACCTGGGCCCCTCCCACTGGGTACAAACCTTGGCCACAGCAGCTGAAGCCACTTCCAGAGCAGCCAGGAGGCGTGGCTTATCCCGAGCCATCTCTGGAATGAAGGGCAAAGGGAGGGGAGCAGCTTGTTTTCTCATCTCAGGGAGCTGACCCCAAGCCGCCTGGGGGCCTGGGGACCAGGCAGGAGCTGGGCCCACCTCTGAGCAGCACTTGGGCAGAGGCCCCCTGCTTCAGCAGGGCCTGATTGGAGGAGGACACGATGGCCTTGAGCTCCTCAGCCCGGGACACGTACTGTCGCACCTGCAGAAGCATGAGGGGCTGAGGAGGGGCTGTCCCACCCGGCCCCCCTCACCAGCAGCCACATCCAAGTTCTCCCTCTAAGTCCTCGGTGACTGTCCCAAGCTGTAATGTCAGGAGCCAGCCTGACCCCTTCTCAGGACAGGAGGTCCGGGTTCTAAGAGAGCCAGTCTCAGGCAGCCCCAGGACCCCACAGCAGTTTCCTGCAGGGGACTTGCTCACCCACCTTTGCCTTAATTGCCTCCTTCCGCTGTGAATCCACTTCATCTGCAAACAGTGGTGGTTTATATGAGGACCTTGTCCCACCACCAAACCCTCTAGAATCCTCAAAAGCACTAAGTTCTAGATTTATCCTCTGCCTTGTCTCCCATAAAATTATGAATGGGGACATGCTTCTGGAACCCATCCACAGCAGCTATGGCCGACCCACCCCTGCTACACGCAGGGCCCATGCCCTTACAGTGCAGGGCAGGCACAAAGAAGTCCAGGGCCTTGCAGTAGAGGGATAAGGCGGCCGCAGCATTCCCCTCCTGGTCCTTCTTCACAGCCTGCACCACCAGGGTAGTCTGGAGGATGGGCAAATCGGGGGGTCATGCCCACCCCTCTGCTCACCATAAAGTGGGAACAGCAGGTGTCCTGAGCCCACCCTCATCCCTGAGGGGCAAGCCCCCCATTTGTCACCAAAAAGTATAGATGAGACCCCCAACCTGCCTTCACCCCAGCCCATCCCTAGTGGCCTGCTCACTGCTCGTGCCAGGCTCTCCTCACTGGGCATGTGGTCCAGGTCCACCCAGGGGTGGGCAAAGAAATCCTGGAAGGAGATGCGACGGCCAGGGTCCCGCTCTAGGAGCCGCCGCAGCAGGTCCTGGCAGTCTGGGGAGAGCTGGAGCCGAAGGGGAAGCTGGGGGGGGTGGGGGACAGGTCACACCGGGCTCCAGGACCTCCCCCTCCTGTCCTGGCGTGTCCCAGAGGCACATGTCTGGCAGGTGAAGGATCTGAGAACCCAGCCTCCTGCCCACGCCCTCCCTGGAGCCCTGAGCTCTTGTAGAATCCGAATGCGGGCTCCCCCCTCCCTGGCTCATGCTTCGGGAAGACCGGGCCTGGGCCTACACAACCACCTGTGGGCTAATCTAGGTCCTTAGAGCCGAATGGAGCTTCAAGCACGCCCAGCACCGCAAGGTCCCTAGAGCCCATGGTGAGAGATCTCCAACCTGCGGACTCTGACTCCCTCTGTCCCACGACAGGCTGCTGAGGCCCTGCAGGACCCACCTCGATAACCCGGTTACTCCGGATCTTCTCTTCCAGCTCCGTGAACGACCTGGAGGCAAAGGGGGGCTGCCCGAAGAGGGCTTCTGTGGAGGGAGGCAGAGGGCAAGCTGGGAGGGACGGGTGCAGCCTGGCCTGGCCACTCCCTGGAGGGCCCGATAACCCCAGGGCAGGGGCTCAGGCCATTAAAGTCAGCCTTCTCATCAAAGCCTTCAGGAGAGCCCAGGGAGGGCATGCCCGAGGACACACAGTGCAGGCTAACAGTGTGGGGGCAGGGGACAGAGCTCTCACCATACAGAATGACCCCCACGGACCAGAGGTCCACACGGGCATCGTACTGCCGCTGACACACCATCTCAGGGGCCATGTAGAGAGGGGAGCCACGGAGCACATGCTTCTCATCCCACGGGGACATGTGCTGTGAGAAGCCGAAGTCTGCAGGCAAGAGGCCAGGCAGCAGGGCTCAAATTCCAGCTTTACCTTCAGCTCCAGCCTTACTCTGAGCTCCAGCACAGGACTCCGCCCCATTCAGCTCAAGTCTTAGCTAACTGTTAACCTCGAACACCCTCCTGCATCTTTCAGTGAGGGCATAAATCCTCCTGACACACACAGCCCCTCAGCTACTTTTCCAGGAAGCCCACCCTGCTCAACCAGCTATGAAGATAACGGCCCATTAGGAGTTAGAACCCTGCCTTACTGTCCCACCAAGTTCAGATTATACCCTCTACAGCCTCAAGCAAATTCTTTTCCAAATCCTATCATGGACCACAACCTCCCCCCCCCCCCCCAACACACACACCCTCCAACACTGATGCAGGTTGAGTTTACAGCTTGAGCTTCAATTCTAGTGATCTACCAAGTCCTGGCCCTGAACCTAAGCATTACACTGCTGGAATCCAGTGTGGATGGCCTGAGAAAGGCACTACCTTTTGGCGATGGGACCCATTTCTGAATCTCCCAGCCGGTTGCTCTTTGACGACTGGATAGAGGGCGCCACAAGTGCACACCCACCCTCCAAACCTGAAAGCTCCATTCAGTTCTAAGGATCAGAACAGCTCACAGATGGTTGTGGAGATCCAGGCCCAGCTTTCCCCTGATGTTCCAGACTCACACCTGCCAGTTTGAGGTGGGGCTTCTCCAGGGAGCTCAGCAGAATGTTCTGTGGCTTCAGATCCAGGTGAGATATGTTTCGTTGGTGCAGAAACTGCAGGGCACTAGCTGGGGAACAGGACACATGCAGAGAAAACAGGTCAGAGGACCCATCTCCCACCCTCCTCTCGCCTTCCCTGACATGCTTCTTCAAGCCTGCATGACCCCATTTCTGGCCTGGCTGGTCTTCTGAAAGCTTTACACAAAAGCACCAGGTTCCTGCCACTTCTAAGAACCCTCATTTCCACCCCCAGTGCCATCTTTCCTCCTCTGGCTCCTCTGCAAGTCTCCCTCCTCCTAGAAGCCTCCCTGAGTGCCCCAGCCCTTTCGACTTTCGCTCTTTCTTTTGGTAAAGCACTTAGATACCCCCAGTGGGCCCTGATGGGTCCTACAAGGTCTTTCTATTATGTTCTGCATGTAGAAAATCTGGACTTCTTACAGCTTCAGGCTCTACCTTTCTCTTGTAACAGCCTTAAGCTAGAGATGGGCACATGGCAAAGACAGGGCCTATAAATCCAAGCTGGGAAAGGAGACAACTGCTAAGAGTGCAGGGGCTCTAAGCCTGGGGAAGGGTGCAGAGGGAGGACAGAGATCATGGGAAGTCTGAGGTCAGAGGTTTTTACCCAACTGCTGCATGAAGACACGAGCCACCTTCTCAGGTAGAATCCGGCGGGTATGGATGAAGCGAGACAGGTCACCTCCTGCGCAGAACTCCATGATGAGGTAGATGTTGTCACTGTCCCACTATGGTTAGAGGCAAAGAGGCAACTTGAAGGAAGTGTCTCTTCTCCAGTCTCCTTTGCAAGTGGCCGAACCACAGGCTCACACCTGGAAGTCTTTCAGCTGGACGATGTGAGGGTGTCGAATGCCCTTGAGGATTTCAATCTCTGTCAGGAGGTTTTCCACCGATGCCTTGTTCAGGCTCTTCTTGGCCACACATTTTATGGCTACCACCTCTCGAGTGTCCTTCTATGGAGGCAGGACATGTCAGGGCTCTATCTTGAGCGAGCCAGGGCCCATGCCTGGCCAGAAAGGCTGATTCCCTCTAACCTTCTCCCCATCACTGGGCTTACCCACTCACACCACATCCAACCTTCCCCTTCTCAGGCTAATGGGAACCCACCCAGCCTGGTGTTCTTAAACCCTCTCTTCCCTTAGTCCCATGAGCGCTTCTATAGTGCTCCCAACTAAGGCATGTCATTCATTTCGTGTTCTAGAACTGCCCACATTGCTTCCTAAGTGGGTGCAGCCTTCCAGAACCCTGTCCAAGATTCCTCCCAGCCCACCAGTTTTGAGCCTATTCTAAAGCCACTGACACGAGGCTCCATCCAGGTCGCCACCTGCCTCTCCAAACAAAACACAGGTGTGTGTACGTGTTTGTGTGTACGTGTTTGTTTTCAAGACCGAGGGGGTCAGACAGCTCCCACCTCGTCCACCGAACACCAGATTGGGACAAGTCAGGCCGCGGGTGCCTAACCTCCCCTGGTTCCCAGCCTGCCCCCCCCTCCCCGCCTGGGCTCGCTCAGGGTCTGGCGGGCACAGGGCCCGGCTCTCAAGCCCGGTTCCGGCTCCGCCCGGCCCCCCCCCCCCCCCACCTTGGCGTAGGCCTTGTACACCGTGGCGTACGTGCCACTGCCCAGGCGCTCGGTGAGGATGAAGCCATCCAGCCGCGGGGGACCCCAGCTGGACCGCGCCATCCCGACCACCTCGCGCCAGGCACCGGGCGCTTCCTGCTTCCCCGGCGGTTCCGGCCGGAGTCCAGCGCGAAGAGCGGAAGAGCGCGCGGCAACCGGCGGAGTCCTCGCTGCCGCCGGGAGAGCAGCGCGGGGGCGGGGCCAGGCTCCCAGGCCCTAAAGACTCTCCGCCTCCCGAAGCTTTCTCTGCTGCACCGCTGAGTGCTGCCAGCCCCTCCTCGGCTTCCGTCAGCCCTAGAAGTCACATGATCTGCAAGATCCATCTGGGAACACTGAGGCTCCAGCGGGCCAAAGGGAGGAACTAGAGACCAGCATAGGAGGTCATCCTAACCAGCTTGTTAGGATCTTAGAGATAGTGAGGATCAAGAAAGGTGAGCGGGCAGGGGATTCAAAGAGGCCCCTCCTCCCAAGACCAGCCCCTCTGAAAGTGGAATTACTGGGACATGTGCTAAGGTTGCAGACATTCCCTAGTCAGGGCACATAAAAGAATCAACCAATCCTATGTAAATAAAAGCTTAATATGCTAAATGTCTGGTTGTCTGGTCAGCCATTCAACCAATCAAAGCATAATATGCTAATGATATACTCAACTGCTCACTATGATGTGCATTTTCCACCAGGGGGCACATGCTCTGTTTCTGGCCCATCTCACTCAGTCCTGATCAGACAGACCCCAGCAGGTTAGCTTGCTGCTGGGGTCTGTCTGATCAGGACTGAGTGAGATGGGCCAGAAACACCCTGGAGCCCACCCACCTCCCGCATCCCTCCCCAGCCTGATCCTGCACTGATGGAATCCTTCAGCCTGTCCTGTGCCCTCTTGCAATCTGGGACCCCTCAGGGAATGTCGGAGAGCTAGTTTCTGCCCTACAGTGGACCAACCAGACACTTTGACATGCACTGACCACCAGGGGGCAGATGGTCAATGCAGGAGCTGCCCCCTGTGGTCAGTGCATTCCCACAGAGAGCTGGGCTCAGTAGCAGTGCTAAGGATGTGCACCTGTCAGCTTAGGCCCACTCCCTACCTAAGCCATCAGCTGGACATCCCCTGAGGGCTCCCAGATGGCAAGAGGGTGCAGGCCAGACTGAGGGACAACTACTCCCTACCCCCCAGTGCATGAATTTTGTGCACCGGGCCTCTAGTGATACATAAATAAGTGGGACAACAAATCTGTTTCTTAAATCAATAAAACCTGTTTGTGAGAATTTTTAAAATATGTTTTATTGATTTTTTTTTTTTTTTTTTTTTTTTTTTTTTTTTTTTACAGAGAAGGGTCAGGGATAGTTAGAAACATCAAAGAGAAACATTGATCAGCTTCCTCCTGCACACCCCCCTCCTGGGGATGTGCCTGCAACTAAGATACATGCCCTAGACTGTAACTGAACCTGGGACCCTTCAGTCCATAGGCTGATGCCCTATTTATTGAGCCAAACCAGTTAGGACAAGAATTTTTTTTTTAATTAAAAAGTATAATAGAAGAGGCCAATAGTTATCTCAGGAAGGGACTTTCCCCCAGGGATGAGAGGCTTAGCCTGTCACAGACCAGCCAGGGAGCAGGGGGCAGCATGTTGACTGACCCGTCACATCTATAGAGCACTTCAGCTCCTACACATGTGGGCCACCCAGATCCGCCCACGTCCAGCAGACATTGGAACCAGTGTTGTCTGAAAATGTCTTTATTTAAGCACAAAACTGAAACAACATAAACATTTGTACATGGAGAAAAAAATACCAAAAAGAAATTTACAAAACCTTGGTCATTATCATTAAACCATCATTCAATGGCTCTGGAGTGGAGTGGGCTGTATTCAGGGCTGCCTCTGGATTGCCTGCTTTTTGAGAAGTTCCCTCAGTCCACAGCTAACTGTGGTGTATCCATCCCTACAGCCTCTCCAGGGTAGGGTGCAGGTGTTGATGGTAGACTCTTAGGTGCTCATCACAGTGACACACCTCCTGGGGAATAACTAGGACCAGGGAAAGGTGACCTAGACTCTACTCGTGCTCGGGGTATGGGAGAACCCTGGAGGATGAGTCTGGAACTCTGGCTCATCAGACCAGCCTGAAGGATCAGTTCTGAACTGATCTAACCTTCCCTTAAGAGTCAAACAAGCTATATATTGCTGATGTGGGAACAGAGGGTTAGAATGTGAGGCCAAGGCAGAGCACAACTGTTCCCCAGGAGAAGAGGAAATCAAAACAAACAGGGACAAACAACCCACACTAGGACAGTCACACACACTCCTCCTAGAAGACAAAGGCTGGGCAGGACAACTTGGGTTGTCCTCTGTTCCTGCCTATGCCCAGATCTCAACCAACCCCAATGCACATTCAGTAAGTATAAGGAGGGGAGGGCTCAGGGAGGGCCCAGATGGCACAGGGTGCTGCCCACAGCTAGAAGGAGCAGGGAGCCGATAGGGCTATGAATCTGTGAGTAACTTGAGGCAGGGAAGACGCTAAGAAATCAGCCAGAGGCTCTGGAAGCCCAGAGACCTGTCCAGAGTGATCTGGGGGAAAAGAGCTATCTGCCAGCCCAGGCCATAGCTCATCTACTAGTAAAGGCGAGCACTTGGGAGGTCATCCCAGCCCAGCATGTAGTGCAGGACTATGGAAGCCCCTGGAAGGCTGTGGCTGTGAAGCCAGATTCAGGCCAGGTTTCTAGGGGATGAGTGGAGGCCCAGGACCCGGCAGAAATACAGCTCCCAGTGGGGTGGGCCTAGGTTTGCCAATGATCCCAAGTGTGTACATATCATATGTGCATGTGGTGTGTGTGTGTGTGTGTGTGTGTGTGTGTGTGTGTGTGTGTGTGTAGGGAAAAGAGAACTTCAGTCCCACTGCTTCAGAGAGACAAAAGAATCTTACCAAACCACCGGAGAAGAAAAACTTTGCGTGTTTTTTCTTTTCTCTTGTATAAAAAAGTTCCTGTCCCTCCCTCCCCTTCCCTTGGGTGGAAGGGAGAACTGATGGCTGAGGAAGGAGAAAGAGCCACAGCAAGACCCTCCCCTATGGTCTGTGCTGGCCATAGCACTGCTTAAGGCACCCATGGAAAGTGCAGCTCAGAAGGCAGGCGGGAAAAAGGCTGGGGCACAGGGAGGAGGGTCAGGACTAATCCCCCTGGAAGGCTCCTCGGGCAGCAGATGAGGCAGCACTGCGGAAGGTCCTGTTGCTGAAGATGCCCTGGGAAAACTCCTCTTGAGCCTGCTGGAAGCTGGCCCCAGTCCGACGGTACAGAGAGTGCACCTGGGGGAAGGCTGTGGTGAGAGAAGCCTATCTTGTAGGCCCACAGGAAACCCATGCCGCCTGACCTCCCCTCCAGAGCCTTGAAGAAAGCCACTGGACATTTGGGGACTCAGGAGTCCCAACTACTGTAGTGATGAATACTCCCATGGCAAGGCTGGAGAGAGGTGCCTGCTCCCTCAGGTTAGCTGTTGGTCTGGCACCCACCACTCACCCGCTTTAGAAGGAAGAGTGAGAGCACAGCACAGAGTGTGAAGAAGCCAGCCACCACCATCATGATGATCGACACAGCCAAGTCTTGCTTCAGCGTAGACAGGGCTGCAATCCAACCACTACAAAAGGAAGAGGAGGTGAGAGGGTAGAGCAAAACTGGGCCCCAGAGGTCCCATGAGGGGCTTTTCTCCACTGCCCACATGGAATCTTTGGGCCACGTGAGGTCTGGAAGATGTGGCTGCTGCCCTGTCAGGAGCACCACTTTCCCTGCTGTTTTGGGAGTATGAGGGGATATGGAAAGTATGGCTGATCATTCCCAAGGGCCCACCCTCTGGAAAAGAGAATTATTGGCCAACAAACTGCATTCATCCTATCACCTCAGCTCTTCCCACTGGGACATAGGGACAGGCTCCTCTGCCAGCAACCATGTCTCCTTCCTGAGCTCCAGCATTTTCATCTATAAAAGGAAATATCCTCACACTTCCTGAGTTAAAAACTTACTACCAAGCTGCAGTTATCAAAACAGTGTGGTACTGGCATGAGGACAGACATATACAATAGAGAGGTTGATGGAATACAAAGAAGAGCCCAGAAACAAACCCACACACACATTTACCATCTATTGGTTTTCACAAGGTGCCAAGACCACTCAAGGAAGGAAGAATGATCTCTTCAACAAATGGTGCTGGGCTCTGGTCAGTGTGACTAAGTAGGTTGAGCATAATCCCATGCACCAAAAGGTTACGGGTTTGATTCACAGTCAGGGCACATGCCCAAGTTACGAGCTCCATCCCCGGAAGGAGTGTGTAGGAGGCAGCTGATCAATGTTTCTCTCCTATTGATGTTTCCCTTTCCCTCTCCATCTTCTCTCTCTCAAAATCTTTTTTTAAGGAAACTGGTACAGACCTTTGCTATACAGGCAGCTTTGCCTGGGGGGAAAACAGCTGTAACCACCCTATTGGAAAGCACCTTGCCCAGAGTGTTTCTGAGGCCCATTAAGTGACTGAGAATAGCCTAAACCGGTTTGGCTCAGAGCATCAGTCTGCGGACTGAAAGGTCACAGGTTCGATTCCAGTCAAGGGCATGTACATTGGTTGCGGGCACATCCCCGGTGGAGGGTGTGTAAGAGGCAGTTGGTCAATGTTTCTCTCTCATTGATGTTTCTAGCTCTCTATCCCTCTCTCCTCCTCTCTGTAAAAAATCAATAAAATATATTTAAAAAAGAGAGAGAGAGAGAGAGAGAGACTGAGAATAACAGCCTCCAGGCAGAAGCTATTGCTCTCCCCATCCCTCCCTTTGAAAAAACTCTCACCGCACCTGTGGACAATTGCCTGAGGGCTATCTAAGACAGAATCCTATCAGGCTGTAGGAAGAAGGGGTCTCTGGAAACTTTGAGTCTTTACCTGAGCTAATTAGTAACAAACAGCATTTGATACTGTCCTGCATTAGAGATGTAGCAGATCTACCTAATACAGAGTCACAAACCCAGACAGGCAGTCAAAATGAGGAAACGAAGAATCCACAAATGAAAGAACAAGAGAATTCTCCTGAAGAAGAGATAAATGAAATGGATTTAAGAATTTATTTGACATGGAGTTCAGAACAATGATGGTAAAGATGATTAACAGCATGAGAAAAGATATAGTAACTATAAAAACAGAAATAAAGAATAACATAGCACAAATAGAAAAGACATTGGTTTTTATTTCATTTTTCTAAATAAGTTTTTATTATTTAGATTATTACAATTATTCTTCTTTTTCCCCCATAGCTCCCCTCTACCTGGTTCCCATCCCACCCTCTGCTCTTGTGCCCCCTCAACCCCCTCCCTACCATCCACTGTCCTCAGTCTCTTCCCCCATCCCCCCCACAGACGCCTTTACCCCTGAGAATTGTCAGTCCACTCCCTTTCTATGCCCCTGATTCTATTATATTCACCAATTTATTCTGGTCATCAGATTTTTTATTCACTTAATTTTTAGACTCACTTGTTGATAGATATGTATTTGTTGTTCATAATTTTATCTTTACCTTTTACTTCTTCTTCCTCTTCTTAAAGAATACCTTTCAGCATTTCATATAATACTAGTTTGGTGGTGATGAACTCCTTTAGCTTTTTGTTTAATCTGTGAAGCTCTTTATCTGACCTTCAATTCTGAATGACAGTTTTGCTGGGTAGAATAAACTTGGTTGTAGGTTCTTGATATTCATCACTTTGAATATTTCTTGCCACTCCCACCTGGCCTGCATAGTTTCTGTTGAGAAATCAGCTGACAATCGTATGGATGCTCCCTTGTAGGCAACTAACTGTTTTTGTCTTGCTGCTTTTAATATTCTCTCTTTGTCTTTTGCTCTTGGCATTTTAATTATGAGGTGTCTTGGTGTGGTCCTCTTTGAAAAAATATATTTTATTGATTTTTCACAGAGAGGAAGAGAGAGATAGAGAGTTAGAAACATCGATGAGAGAGAATCATCGATCAGCTGCCTCTTGCACACCCCCTACTGGGGATGTGCCCGCAACCAAGGTACATGCCCTTGACCGGAATCGAACCCGGGACCTTTCAGTCCGCAGGCCGACGCTCTATCCACTGAGCCAAACCGGTCCCGGCGGTGTGGTCCTCTTTGGATTCCTTTTGTTTGAAGTTCTCTGTGCTTCCTGGACTTGTAAGTTTATTTCTTTCACCAGGTGGGGAAAGTTTTCAGTCATTATTTCTTCAAATAGGTTTTCAGTATCTTGCTCTCTCTCTTCTTCTGGCACCCCCATAATTTGGATGTTGGTACGCTTGAAGTTGTCCCAGAGGATCCTTACACTGTCTTCATATTTATGCATTTTTTTTTTCTTTTTGCTTTTCTGGAGGAGTGTTTTTTGCTTCTTTGTATTTCAAATCTTGATTCTTGCGATCCTCTAGTCTGCTTTTAGGTCTCTGTATAATACTTTTTATTTCAGTTAGTGTATGCTTAATTTTTAATTGGTCCTTTTTCATATCCTCGAGGGTCTCATTAAATTTATTGGCCTTTTCTAGGAAATTCTTGAAAAATATAACCGTGGTTTTCAACTCTATATCCACTCTTTTGCTTTTCTCCATTTCTTCATTTGTGGCCTCTTTGTCTCTGCATTTTGGCTGCTTCACTGAGTTGATGGAGTGGCTTTGTGTGCTAGGTGTCCTATTGGGCCCAGTAGCCCAGCCTCCCCAGTTACCTGAGGTGGACACTCTTGGTGAACCCCTTTGTGGGCTGTGTGTGCAATCTTGTTGTAGTTAAGCCTTGATTATTGTTGGTATCACTGGGGGGAGTTGATCCCCAGGCCAACTGGCTGTGAGGATCAGCTGTATCTACGATGGGAGAGTTTCTGTGTGTTCAAGCTTGGATGGGGCGGATTCTCAGGGTGGAGTAGACAGCCTTGGTTTCCCATCAGCCCCACCCTAAGAAGCCCCTGTATCCCAGTATCCCACGACAATGGCTGCAGTCACCTCTGAGAGAAGGCTGCTTTTGAGTTTCGCCTACTGCCAGACAGTCCAATTTCTCCCCAAATGAGTCTGGGTACCAGAACTAGATTTCACTGCAGTCAGGAGGTTTTGTTTCCTGCCCAAATGAGAAAGCTAGTCACACCCTTGCTGCCCACCCTCTCTGTGTGCTGCAATTAAGCCAGCCACATGTTCAGCTGCCTGTGCTTTCCGTGCATCTGGTCTCTGCACCTTTGTCCTTCACAGCTCCTCTGGGTCTCCGTGTCCTTTTATCTTTCCCTCTAGTTGTAGAATTTCCACTCAGCCAGCTATCCGGTGGTTCTAGACGATGTCTGCTTTGTCTTTTAATTGCAATTTTGAAATTGTTGTGTGAGGCAGCAGTATAAGTGCTACCTATGCCACCAGCTTGATTTCTCCTAAATATAAAAATTTTAAATATAAAAGCCAATGTGGGGAGAAACCAAGATGGCGGCATAGGTAAACACCTAAACTGTTGCCTCGCACAACAATTTCAAAACTACAACTAAAAGACAAAACGCACATCATCCAGAACCACAGGAAGACTGGCTGGAAATTCTACAACTAGCAGGAAAGAGAAAAGCACACTGAGACTCACAGGAGCTGCAGAAGGCAGAGAGAAGGAGGCGCATGTATGGAGAGGACTGGCAACTGAGTACACACTGGCTTTCTCAATCAGGAGGGAAACAAAAGCTCCTGACTGCTCTGAACTCCAGTTCCAGGTGAGACTCTGGAGAACCAGACCCATTCGGGGTGAAACTGGACTGTCTTGCAGCGGACAGAACTGAAGGGTGGCTTTCTCTCAAGAGGTGCTTGCAGAGATTACTGCTGGACACTGAGACCTAGGGGCCACTTAGGGCAGGGCTGACAGGAAGCCATTGCTGCCTGCTCCGCCCTGAGACTCCGCCCCATACAAGGTGAAATCAGAGGCTTTTGCAAGTCTTGTCTCATGAGGGTGTCTCCAGCACAGAAGTTCTCCCAGCATAGACACAGCTGATCCTCACAGCCAGTTGGCCTGGGGATCAACTCCCCCCAGTGATACCAATAATAATCAAGGCTTAACTACAACAAGATTGCACACACAGCCCACAAAGGGGTTCACCAAGAGTGTCCACCTCAGGTAACTGGGGAGGCTGGGCTACTGGGCCCAATAGGACACCTAGCACACAAAGCCACTCCATCAACTCAGGGAAGCAGCCAAAATGCAGAGACAAAGAGGCCACAAATGAAGGAAATGGAGGAAAGCAAAAGAGTGGATATAGAGTTGAAAACCACGGTTATGTTTTTCAAGAATTTCCTAGAAAAGGCCAATAAATTTAATGAGACCCTCGAGGATATGAAAAAGGACCAATTAAAAATTAAGCATACACTAACTGAAATAAAAAGTATTATACAGAGACCTAAAAGCAGACTAGAGGATCGCAAGAATCAAGATTTGAAATACAAAGAAGCAAAAAACACTCCTCCAGAAAAGCAAAAAGAAAAAAAAATGCATAAATATGAAGACAGTGTAAGGATCCTCTGGGACAACTTCAAGCGTACCAACATCCAAATTATGGGGGTGCCAGAAGAAGAGAGAGAGCAAGATACTGAAAACCTATTTGAAGAAATAATGACTGAAAACTTTCCCCACCTGG